CTTGCCATGAGATGGTTACTTGTATCCAGTGTTGGCTGCATTTTGTAACCGTCTGTGATACTTTAAAATCCCTGGTACCCATGGCTTGCCCAAGATGGTCTCACAGAATCTGTCTGGAATAGAGTCCTGTTTCAGCATTGGAAGAGGTAGAAGTAACCCAGGAGTTCTGAGATAAGTTTGGGGTTGAAAGCCACTGCTCTAAAATATCAGGAGTCACATACTGTCTTAGTCAGGTTTCTATTGCTGTGATAAACACCATTAATAAAAACTTCTTGGAGAGGAAAGGGTTTATTTCACCTTATAACATACAGTCCATCGCTAAAGGAATCAGGGCAAAAACTCAAAGTAGAGGCAGAAATTGAAGCAGAGACCGTGGAGAAACATTGCTTACCTGCTTGTACTTCCTGGCTCACCAGTTCGCTTTCTTATACACCTCAGAACCACCTGACCAGGGCCGATACCACCTACAGTGGTCTGAGCTACATCAGTCATTGGCTAGGAAAATGCCCCACAGGCCAATCTGATGGAGGCATTTTCTCAGTTGAGGTTCCTTTTTTCTCAGAGTACTCTAGCTTATGTTGAGTGTCAAGCCAGTACACACACCCTGTCCCCCCCCCCCCCGTTTTTTTACATTGACCAGATTGGGTAGTCCATTTAGCTCCAGTGTATTTTAAGGGCAGGCAGGGGTCCCTCTAGAACACAGCTTGTGACAGCCTAGGTGTGTAGGACCCGCTGCTAGGACCGACTTAGATCCAACATGTAATTCCCCAAGCTTGGGCACTCAACTGCTTCCTTTGAGATTTTGGAGTCGAGTTGTGATATCTGGTTACTCTCAGGAAGAGGAGTAAGAGGAAGAGACAGGCCTTGCTGTTCCTGACCCGGCGCTGCACAGCCACCCTCCCTTCCTGCTCTTTTCGGCTAATATTGCATCTGCTTTAAGGAACATGGATGATAGTGATGCCCCAATGCCCTCAGGTCACTTAGAGATACCTCCTCCCTCCCTCCCTTTCTTTCCTCACTCTCTCAGCCCTCTGGCCTCAGCCTCCTGGTATTACAGGCCTGTGCTACCATGTTTGCTTTACATCACCCACGAGCTTACACAGTTCTTATTTCAGTCTGTGGGGCAGGGGCTGTCGCCATCCCCCAGTATCCAGACATCAATCAGGTAGCATGGCATACTGGGCCACGGTGTCTGTAGGACCTTAGGTCCACCTTAGGAGATAGGAACATTTCTGTCAGTTCTCAATAAGCATAGTTTGTGTGCTTTCCTAAAGTAGCTTGTACTTCACACCCTCCCAGTCTGAAAGCCTGCCATGGATGTTACTTCCCTTTCCTGTCTCCTGCTGATGTTTAGTTCATCTTGTGTTTGTTCTGGGTGAAGTACAGGGTAGATGTTAGAAGCTGAGGTCAGCACTATCGGGCTGCCAAAACTCAGCTGAGCCTGGTCTGTCAAGACAAACCCTAATGTTGCCTCATTGTTGCTGTTTGAGGAAGCAGAATGGCGTGAACAATTAAAGCAGAATTTAATAAAACTACTTTCTGGGCTTGAAGGGACGGTCAGTGTTTGCCTTCTAAGCATGAAGACTCCAGTTTAATTCCTAGAACTTGTGTCAAATATCTGGGTGTGGTGGCATGTTTGGAGACAGGCAGATCCCTGGGATAGCCAGCCGAGCCTGCTTAGTGAGATCCAGATCCTTGAGAGATCTTGTCTCACAAAAGAAGATGGACAGCATCAGGAATGACACAGAGTCTGGCAACACTCTTTCCACCATTCCTCATCATCCTGTGCATCTGGAAAATGTCAATATTTTTGGGAAATTATTTCCTAGTTTTATTATCCTTAGTTTGAAACAGAAAACTATACATAGACTATCGCAGAATGTATGTTTCAACTTCTGAAACATAAATTTATTTTTGAAACTAAGTATTCTTTGATATTCTTTAGTTAAAAGGAGTTTTGCAGCCTCTGTCATTGAATGGAAAAGTTATTTTGGTAACTGGTGTTCCTTGTCTCCACTTTAAAAACAGATTTTGTCTTTCATAAAACATGAATTACTTATCACTGAGTTACATTGTGTCTGAATGCCTTCTGTTTATGACAAGGACATTGTAAAACTACGGCCCCCAGGTGGAGTGCTGGGAGATGACATCACCTCATTGTGGGAAGTGAATAATTCATGGCAGTTCTGTATAGCACAGTGGAATTTAGCTCATTTTTGAAAAGACATGTTTTCCTGTAATATATTAAGTAGAATGTGTTACCTTAGTCATTAGATAGCATAAATTCTGTTCTGTTTTCTGGAGTACTGGGTTATTTGCAGTAGGGACTTATTTTTCATAACATTCATATAACATCATGTGACTTTTTGCTAAAGGCAGAATGAACCACAGCCCACTGCTCCTCTTCCAGGAGTGAGGAATGTTAATATCTCCATGGAGCTCGGTTTTTCCTGTTGGAACCATGGCAACCAGCTACCCTCACAAAAGGACTCGCCTCCCCAAACATGGAGCCCCCCACACACAAACATTTGACTTTCTTCAAGGCAATAATATTAGAGCAAATTCCTTGTCTTTGCCAAACATAAGATTCATTGTGAGAAACTTCCAGCATTAATACAGATTCAAGGATTCAGCTTCTCTCTTAAAATCTGACTTTCCATAAGCAACTTTTGTAACAGAATTCTGTTAATTTCAGTGTGCTTGTGCCGAGTGTCATGTTGTTTTTGTTTTTGAGGTTCTCAGGAGGCTTTTATTCTGCATGCTTGCCTTTCTCTGCAGGGATGGCTGGGTTTTCCTGGTGGTGGCAAATCTCTCTCAGAGTAGGAGGCACCACATTACCTTTCATGGTCATTTCCTCCTTTGCTTTTGTTTATGCCTATAGCTCTTCAGAATCTGGTGCCATTGTTAACTGGTTTGGACTGGCCAAGTTCTAGGGATTAATGGTGGAAATTAAACTGCTACTTGGTATTAACCCTGTGGAAAGATGTGTGTTGGATTTTAGGTGCCTGAGTGAATGGGGCAGCTTCCCATGTCTGTGTCTTGTTTCTCAGTCATAGCATTCCCCTCTCCGTTGGGGGGGGGGCACTCTTTTATATTAACAGGTCCTGTATGAGAGGCCTTTCTTATAGCAGAAAGTGGGAGAGTGTCATAGTTGCTTGAAATGCACATTTGGCTGGTATTCCCTTAGGTCTGACAACTTTCTTCAGCTTGTCTAAAACTCAAATACCAAAGAGATTTATTGTTTCAACTCTGTACACATCTGTTTTGCTTTGTGTGACTTTTCTCAGTGGCATCAAGACTGTAACTATCTGGTTAATGTGATTCAGGTGTTGGTAGTCTCTTTTCTAGGAAGAGTTCAGGTTCCCTAACGCTCCATTAGTGCCCTCTTCTGGACTGAACACCCTTTAATGGATCTGCCTTTAACACTCAGGCTGGGCTTGTGTCACTTTCTGCACAGTGCCCCAAGTTTCCAAGCCTCTGCGCCTCTGCAACTGTCCTGTCCATAGGGTAAAGTTGAGCCTTCTTAGCCCGACAGTCAGCTCCTCCAGAAGTGGTTTGTTCTTCCATCCTAAACACATCTGCACCCAAGTTACCAGATGTTCTCCAGTGTTCTGCCCTGCACTGTTGCATTTTCTGTTTATATCCCTTACAGCACCGTTCTCTCTGTAATGCTCTTTGTGGTGATTTTATCTTTTAAGCTCTTGTGCTTTTTCGGCTCCATTTATTTAGTTGTCACTGTGGGTTTTTTGTTTGTTTGCTTGTTTTTTTTTTTTTTTTTTTTTTTTTTT